CCTCTCAATTCCTGGACATCTCTCATTGCAAACCAGCAACAAATGGTGTGTGACTGTGGTCTATAGATCACACTTTGAGTAGCACTGCTTTAGAAGCCCTGGAGAAAAACACTCTTTGGCCAGAATACTAATATCACCCTCCAACAGTGTGCCTGGGTCTTTGATACTTAGAGAGAAAAAACAATGGGAAGCGTATTCATGTGGATTCTTCAAAGAAACAAGATTGTGTGTGTGTGTGTGTGTGTGTGTGTGTGTGTGTGTGTGCGCGCGCACGCGCGCGTGCATATGTACATATATATATGAAGAGATTTATCATAAGGGATTAGCTTATACAGTTATAAACTCTGAGAAGACCCCCAGTCTGCTGTCAGCAAGCTGAAGACCCAGGAGAGCTGATGGTAGAGTTTCAGTCTGGGTCCGAAAGCCTGAGAATCAGGAGAGCTGATGGTGAAAATCTTCAGTTCAAGTATGAGTTCAAAGGCAGGAGAATGATGTCTCAGCTTGAAGACACTCAGACAGAGAGAATGAATTCTTCCTTTCTCAACATTTCTTTCTATTTAGACCTATTCATTCTATTTACCATTGAGTGAGGCCTGCCCACACTGGAGGGGACAGACTGGTTTACTCAGTCTACCAATTCAAAATTTAATCTCATGGTTAATCTCATCCAGCAACACCCTCCCAGACACATCCAGGATAAAGTTTAGCCACATATCTGGGCAACCCATAGCCCAGTCAAGTTAACACACAAGATTGACCATCACAGACAGACATCATCTCAAGTCAATGTGAGGGAGGCTCTCTGGATTTTCACTCTGTCAAGGAATATACCAGTTCCTTTACCCTGTCAACAGGAACCATCCTTTTTTGTTTTAACCTCTCAATGTCTTTTCCTTGGCATGACCATTGAGCCAGCCTCCCTGGTGCCCAGGAAATGGACTCTTCTTTAGTGCTGATGCTTTCCATTTAAATAATTTCCTACTCATGATAAGTCAGTGCTTGCTGACACTATTCAGCTCTGAAACCCCCTGGCGATTTGCTGCTCGCACCTAAACCCTCAGCACAGTGGTACACATACCAGCCACCTTCTCCCTGAAGCTTATCCTCTGCCTGGTCCTATTGACCCTCTGTCATAACCCAATGTGCTTTATCACCACCCTAATACATTCATGACTTCCTGTGGCCCCTGAATTCTGCTTCATATAATCCTTAGCAAATAAATACTGATGATACTTTTTAAGCATATGCCTGGTGCTAAGTGCGGTGATTTCCATACCTTATTTAATTTTTACAACAGTATTATTGAGTATGTATCAAAACCCCAGTTTTACAGAAGAGGAGACTGAAACTTACAGAGATTAAGTAACTTACATGACTAGGAAGGGCAGATATAGGATTCAAATCTAACACTGTTTTTGACCAGAAAGTTCTGATTTTTAACCATGAAACCACCCTGTTTATCTTAGTTCTTGATGCTGTAACAAAATACTTAGACTAGGTAATGTGTAGAGAGTAGAAATTCATTGCTTACAATTGCAGAGGCTGAGAAGTTCAAGATCAAGAGGCCCACAGATTTGCTGTCTGGTGAGGGCTGCTCTTGCTTCCAAGATCCTGTCTTGCTACTGTATCTTCACACAGTGGAAGGTAGAAAGTCAAAAGCACCTTGCTCGTTCCTTCTAGCCTTTTATAAGGGCATTAATCCCATTCATGAGGGAGGAGCCCACATGACCTAATCCCCTTGTAAAGGCCCAACTCTTAATACTATCACATTGGATCTTTGGTTTTAAAATATGAATCATAGGGGACACATACATTCAAACCAGGTAGCTCTGCCTTACATAAAATATAACAGAGTATTCACATGATAAACAGTCACTTAGGTAATATTTCCCAATGAGGAAAGTTGCTACTGAAAATATTTATTTATTTTTGTTTCTTGCCCTCTATGTAAAGATTCATTTTTAAGTTTTATTTGCAGGACAAGGTTTGTCTTTGCTGATGAACTTGTATATTTCTCTTTCTTAGTCAAGGAGAGAATATTAAAGCTTGGGTTTCCCCAGGCAGCTGGAGTGAATTTTAATCCTTAATTGCAGCAGCTGTTTTTAGCTTGCTTGGGATAATATTCTTCCTTTTTTGAACACAACTTTATTTATCTATATGGATGGTTCAATTGCACATGTTTTCTTCCCTCACTCGATTTTGAGCTTTTTGGGTGCAGAGACTAAATGAACTGAATGTGTACCTAATTTTGTAAGCTTTCTTTTTTCAGAGGCAAATTATTTTGGTATATCAAGTGGGATTCAGTTTTGACCAGTTTTCTCTGCAAAGTACTCAACGTTTATTCTATGGCTGAACTGGGGCGTGGGTTGGATATGGTTGCTTGACTATAACCTCATTATTATGACTCTGAAAATTTGTGTGGTGGATCCAAAGCTGCAGACAACCACATAAGAGTGATCATGGGAAGATATTTATAAAATGCTGAGAAACTAGAGTGATGTGTGGTGGAATGGGAAGGAATGCTTCTTTTACTGACCTCAGTGGGTCTTGCTCCAAGCAGCAAATTAGATGAGATCAGGGCAGGTGTCTTCCCATGTTAATAAAGACTTAATTAAACAATGGTTAAGATAACAGCTGGAGAGGCTAATTGGGATTTGGGGCCAGTGGTGAGGACAAAGCTGAAACCACACAGGAAGTGTTAGCCAGGATTGACTTCACATCTCCTGGACCATGGGAGTCTTATTCTGTTTTGTACTTCTGTAACAGAATGCCCAAGGCTGGGTAGTTTATAAAGAATAGAGATTTATTTATTATGTTTCTGGAGGCTGGACTGGGAAGTTCAAGAGCCTGTATCTTGTGAGGGCTTTCTTGCTGTGTCATCTCATTGCAGAAGGTCAAAAGGGATTATATATATATGGAGAGAGAGAGAGAGAGAGAGAGAGAGAGAGAGAGACTGACTGACTATGAATAGGGGCTGATCTCACTCTTTTATAAGGAAGCCACTCCTGTGATAGGTAACCCATTCCTGCCATAAGAGCATTAATTCATTCATGAGGACAGGGCTCTCATGACCTAATCACTGCTTAGAGGTTCCACCTCTCAACACTATTGAGCTGGGAATTAAATGTCCCAATTTAATGGGAAATTCACATGACTTTCACATGAAGCTTGAGAGACATATTCAAATAGCAATGGGTATCAGTTCACGTTTAAATGACACATGGCCCAAGAAATCAAGATTGACTTGAAGGAAAAGGGAGAGCAGTCCCAGTCATACATTGTGTCCTCCCTTTTAAATCTGTTTGGTCTGAAAAATTAACTTGGAGAAAGGAGGAGGTGGTCAGTGAAGTGTTCTTCCAGAGAAGGATTCTTATATTCAATTTACATGTAAGGATGGATTTGGGAATGTCTGACTTGTAATCCCTTATGCTTGGCAAATGCAAGCATCCTTTGTAATGAGTATCCTGCCATTTGTGATTGGTCTACGGATGTACATTTTGTTAGCCGTGGAAAGAGTTATGGGGGTTTTGGAAGCTGACAGTTGGCTCTTGCCTCGGCCATGTGTCTATTTTACTTTTTGGGGCCTAGAGCATTTGGGAGAGTTGTCCTAGTTGTTATGATGCGTGAAAAGTACCTTTGATAGAAATAGAGAAATCAGGAAGTGTGGCCTATTTTGTAGGAAGATAATTAATTCATTTTTAGGCATCTTGAGTTTGAAATGAGGGTTTGACATCTGGGTGGAAATGTCTGGCACTTAGCTGAGGTTGCTTTGTGGAAACAGCATGTGGGATGCTCAAGTTCTAGAACTTCTACTTTCACTAACAAGCTTTATGCTCCTTGTCAAATCCTGTAACTTTCAGGGATTTCACCGGTCCTGTGCTGCCCAGTGCACCTTAAGAGATCTGCAATGAAGGTGTTCTTCACCCACTCCCTATGACTGACTCTCTACACTTTCTGCCTGTTGGCTCTCAGAGGGGGAGAGAGCACACCTTTCTTTGCTAGTTGGGGAAGGAGAACCTGAAGTGTTCCATGGCTTGTTCACAATAACAGAGCATTCTAGGACAAGTCGGGCTGGGAGCTATGCTCTTTCTGCTCTGGAGAGGACCATCTTTCTAACTGCCTTTTCTCTTTCTTATCTTTGCTTGTCCTTCCCTTCTCCTTGCCACCTCTCTTTTACCTTAGTCTGGAGCCTCTGGTCTGCCTTGTTCCAGTGTGAACTTCCACGGCCCAGTGGTGACCATCTGGGCGTGGGAACTTTACCTGGAGGGTTTGTTAGACTGGTCTAGCGCTCTGAATAAACCTGTCAGAGTGCTAGAAGCAACTTTGTTCTGGTATACCTGAAGGCGTCACTCCTTTTTCCAGTCTGGAGTGATTGGCATTTCAGAATGTGTATTCTCGCAAGCCACTCCTGTAAGCACTGTCTGCATCTCAACCAGACTCGGCAGCTGCTTCTCTGAGATGCAGACAGTTGCATGTACTAGGTGCCTGAGCATTTCCTACCTGGTTTGAGTCTGTATGAGGGGAACACTTGTTTCATCTGGGAGAAATGAGACGTCTGGATCTCTGCTCACTCACAGCCAAGACATCCAGTCCCTGGGTAGCCTGGCACTTCTGGGATGCTCACTCCCTCCTTATAAGCATCGAGAGAGAATGTATTAGTCCAAGAAAAGGAGCAAAGGGTATTTTCATTTGTCTAAAAAGACATTTTGGTGATGGTGTGATGTGCCACTGTTTACAAGGACAGTGTGGTTCAAATTCATAATTAAATGGGGGAAAATGAATTAAGATGTAAAGTGAAAGAATGGGAAAAACATGAGTTCCTTTGGGAATTGCTCAGGCAATTGGGATCCTAGAGATGTCCTGACTTTCCCTTTAGAAATATTATTATTGTCTTAAAAATGACACTGGCCATCTGAAAATTGGGATGGTCCTTTGAAAAAGAAACATAAGAATAGATTATGATGTCTTTCTTTCCCCTTCCCCTATTTTCTCGTGAGCAGGGAAAAGATGCCGTTCCACCATGTGACCGCTGGTTTGTTGTACAAGGGGAATTATCTCAACCGGTCGCTCTCTGCTGGCAGTGACAGCGAGCAGTTGGCTAATATCTCCGTGGAGGAGCTTGACGGTAAGGAGCCTGCCCTTTTTTGATGGTTAGCTGCCTAAGGGGGGTGTTGTGGTTATTGTGAAGCTGGGGCGAAAGCACTGGACTCTGGCTACTCCCTGGCAGCCATGGCCACATCTAACCATGGTGTGATGGGAATGAGTTCAGAGACAAAATCTGCCCAAGTGATTGATTTGTGTGGGACAGACCTTGTAGCCTGAACAATCTATAGTGAATATTTTGGTTTCTTTGGATACTGATTGGGGTAGGGGAGGAGAGCCTTCACCTCTCTTCAGGTGTGTGTTCCAGTTTCTGTAGTCTTTATCGCCAATGGAATTGTCTTGTTTCTGCGTTGTTACTCACAATGGAGTCCAGCTGCAGGGGAGGTTTAAGCCCTGGTAATGACTGTTTTTTGACGTGAGGCCATGGTGATTTGAATCCTGCCCAGATCAGAATCATCTGGAAAGCTGTGTCTAGGTGGCAATGAACAGCAATTATTTTAATTGCCTCTGTTTCTTTGTAACACAGTACAGCCTTGGGTGTTCAGGGCAGGGGTTAGGGATGGGAATAAACCAGGGAACACAATGACTACATTCATCCTAGGACAGTGTCCCATTGCATCCTGGATAAACCAACACCCTAATTTAAAAAAAAATTAAAAAGAGGAAAAAAGAGTTAATTTTTTCCCCTAGAATAGAGAATGAGGTTGATTCAACCTGATGTTTTGCCTAGGTACGGCATCTGCTTGGGCCAAATCAGAATCAGTTTTTTCCTACTGTTTTTGAATGCTGTGTGCTTGTAATAATACCATTTTAAAACATGAAGTTGAATTTTACTTTCTAAAGTCAACATTACTCAAGATGGCTCACATGTTTGCTTTTAGCCAGTGTGCTTTGTGTGTGCACATTGGTGATCCTCATTTCTACAAGAGGAAAGTGGGGACATTTGGCTTTGAGACAGTACAACCAAATTTGCTTTACAATGGGCAGGAGGTGAGGGTGGCAAAGAGGCCATTGGAGCTTTTCCTTTTCTTGTCCATTTTTTTGCATGCTTATCTTAATATTTGCTTATTTGCATGAATGAACAGGGAGGCAGCAGAGAATGCAGACCCTAGTGGGCTGGGGCCAAGGAGATGTTAAAAGAAATGGCAGTGATGTGGATGGAGCTGGCCTTCCTAGGGACAGCAGCTGTTCACTGTGGTATGAAAAGAGACTAGTGGCCCCAGAGGAGAGTGGGAACCCTTGGATCTTCTGACTTTTAGTTGGTCAACAGACGTGCACATTTGGGACACAGAAAAGGAACTAGAGCCTTGACCGCCTACAAAGTGAGCCCATCCTGGGGACCATAAATTAAGGTGAGGCTATACTTAGGTGATATCTTAGTCTATTTGGGCTGCTATAATTAAATAACATAAACTGAGTGGCTCATATACAACAGAAATTTTTTTCTCACAGTTCTAGAGACTGGGTACTCCAAGATTAAGGGGCCCGCAGATTTGACATCTAGTGAGGGCCACTTACTGATTCATATGTGGCAGTTTCTTACTGTGTCCTCACACAATGGAAGGGGTGAATAAGAGCACTGTTTTAATCTATCTTGTGTTGCTATAACAACGTACCACAGATTGGGTAATTTATAAAGTTTATTTGGCTCATAGTTCTGGAGGCTGGGAAATCCAAGAGCATGCCGCTGGCATCTGGTGAGGGCCTTTGTGCTGCATCATCTTCCCATGGCAAAAGGTGGAAGGACAAAAGAGGGTAAGAAAAAGACAGTGAGAGAGGGCCAAACTTACTTTTATAACTATCCACTCTTTTGATAATGAACCCCCTCCATATAAAATGGCATTCATCCATTCATGAGGATGGATCTCTCACAGCCTAGTCACCTCTTAATGGTCCCATCTCTTAATACTGTCATAATGCCAATTAAATTTCAACATGAATTTTGGAGAGGGCATTGAAACCACAGCAGGCACTAATCCCATTCATGAGGGATCTGCCTTCCTAATCTCCTCCCAAAAGACCCCACCTCCTGATGTCATCGCATTGGGGATTAGGTTTACACATGTGCATTTTGGGAGAACACAAGCATTCAGATGACAGCGTATGCATTTGGCAGGTGAAGAAAGGGCCAGGCCTTCCCCATGGCAGGGAATCTTTGCTCTGAATGGAGATTAGGGCAGGAGGTACCCTGCTGTGGGGTGCATTTTTGCTTATGTAGATCCCCAGGCTCAGTTATCAGCAGGAGGGACTACGAGTTCCCATATTGGGCCCACTCAGTGGTCCTGGCTGTTAAGAACTAAGCAAGGCCATCTGTACATTTTTGGGCAACTCTTGAAGAGGCTGAGATTACTAACCAAGTGAAGTTTGGATATCAACTGTGGCTTTCCATAATCTCCCCTTCCTTGTTCCCACGTTTGTATGAATACTCAGGAGATGATTTCTCTGAGAATTCTCAGAGCAATGGCTGACTCCTCTGTTAAACCCGAGCTCTGCTAGGGCCACTGTTTGGGGCTACTGCTGGGGTACATAGCTTTTCAAGAGGGCCACTGTTTGGGGCTACTGCTGGGGTACATAGCTTTTCAAGAGGACTGCCGGCTGGATTCCATCCCTTCTCTCCCAGCTTGTGCTCATTGCTGAAATGCCCTCCACATTCTTGGACAAGGAGCAAAGCACACAAGCTTGCTGCTTTAACCAGGCACAGGCAGCTCAAGCAGGGCTGAAATACACTTTTTTGGTAGGTGGATAAGAAGAAAGTAACTCAAAGAGCCCTCCAAAGCCCAGACTGGGCAGTCTGAGCCTTGGAAACCTTGGGGCATCTGATTGAGTGAAGTGGGGGCTTTGTGGTCTGAGACTGGCTGGTGAACACGCTGTGTTTGTCCTTCGGGAGGATAATCCAGGCTCCCAGCCTGGAGAAGGATCATTTATTTTCTGACGGAAGATTCATTCTACTCATTTGTTTAGTTTTTGCCAAGGTGAACACTGAGTTATGACTGCTCCTGCTTTATTACAAGCATCTTGGGGCTCTGGGCAGGACAGTGCAGATGTGCTCTGAGTTTAGAGCAGGCAGGCAGGATCTGGAAACCAACTGGCCTGAATCAGTTTTGATAACTATGGCTCTGTCTTGGGGAAGCCAAGGTTTCCAAGGCATTCCCTACCTGTGTGCTATTCTCTTGGGCAGCTCATGTCAAGCTGACTCTGAAGTTCTGCGGCTTGAGACCACTTACCTTTCCTCAGAGGACAAGTGGTGCTGCACATGGAGTTATGTGTTGGACGCCGATGGACACTGCAGCGTCCTTTGCTGTCTGACTACATTGGGCACAGACATTAGTTGGGTGCCATCTTTATCTGCTTTCTGTCTCCCCACCCAGCAGCAACTGCAGTCTCCTGCTTAGGGATGACTACAGGGTCAGGGTCTCCGGCTTGCTAGTGTTTATCACCAGTGATGGCAAGAAAAGAACCGCTCACCACACAGGCCATTTCAAGCTGCAGTTCACTTCCGGAAAGTTTCTGTTTCTTCTCTTTAACCAAAACTCAGGAGGGAATAAGACAAAGCTGCACCAAGTTGACCAGATTGGAGCTAGAAATCACCCAAATAAAGTCAGTAAAGATGGATTGATGGAAACATTCATTCATTCTTTTTCATTTATTCATTAAAGTGATGTAGAGTAGGTAAAGTAGAAAATGCTTTCTAGGTAGAGGAAAAAGAATCTAATATATTAATTGCTGGTTTCCAAGGAACTTATCTCTATCCAGAAAGTGTATGTATATAACGAATTCATTAGCCATTTCTTGTGCATCATGTGGAGTTTTATTAAACATATAGATTAAAATTTTTGAAAAACAATTTTCTCAATGACATTTATTGAATATTCTTGTGATGCTGTCTTAATCTTAAATTAAATGCACCTCTATCTGAAATTCACTCATATTCATGAATAGATAATGTATAAAAATATATGATATACAATGTTGTATATAAATACTTGTATATAAATAAAACTGTAATTTATGTACCCATTCTAAAGGATTTTTTGGTTATTTCCAGTTTGGAGCTATTAGGATATAATGTAATCATTCCCTTTTTTGTTTCAGTTGTGATCTTAAGGTAGCTTTTTCTCAAGTTTTCCTCTTCCTGTTTTAGTGAGGCCACATTTTCTCATTCTTTCCTGATCCCTTGTCTTATTGAGGACACTTGTGTATAGTTTATGAAAATCTCTTCTGTTTCTTGTAATAAATTATTTATGTATATTATAATAAAGGTCTTTTTCTCCAAGTCTTCCAGATGATGGTACCTTTATTTTGCATGGGAAGATATTTATATATGGTTCATTTTGCTTTTTGCTATTCTGCTTTGTGACTCAACAATGCAAAGTTCTTTGTAGGCCCAGTATTTGTCAGTAAACAAGGTTTGTAAAGAAACTTGCCTTCTGAACTTTGTCTCAGACCTGGGATAATGTTCCCATTTTCATTCCTAGACTGAAAAGAGGTTTATATGCACATGTCATCTCCAATTTCTAGAAAACATTCATTTAGTCCACAGCTCCTGGACAGAGGTGGGGTCTTAATTTCCTCTATTGCTGGCTTTGCTCCCAATGCCCCAGAAATGATCTACCTCTTTGCTCTTATCTTCTCCTTCCCTTCCCTTCTTCCTTCACTTTCTCAAACTAGTATCTAGCATTTGGTCTTCCCAAGAACATTCTGGTTCTTATCTCTGCCTCACAGATAACCCAGGATGGGACATACCAACCTAGGGCTGTAGTGAAAGTGTCCTCCAGTTGAGACAGATAGCCTCAAGATACATATCTCCAATCCTGCCCCCCTCTTAAATCTTAGACCTGGTACCTTTTAAATCTTAAACCGGTATGGCTGTTCTGCCAGTCCTTTAAAGTCCAAATAGATTTTCTTTATTCTCTAAAACTACTCCTCTTTTGGAGTTTTTCTCAGGAAAATATATCAGACTATACCCAGTCAGCCACCACAGTAATCTGGAGCCATCCTTGATTCTTCTTTTTGTCTTACTCC